GGGGGGGGGGGAGAAATCACACTTCTCAGCCACTGATTTGCATAGCTGGTGGATTCAGGCTTGTGAGTAAATGCTTGAACTGCAAGTCTGAATCCCCAGGCAAATCAAATCAGTGACTGGTTCAGGCTTGCAGTTCAGGCATTTACTTGCATTTGAAAAGTTTTCCTCTGTCTATGAGAGTTGGAAGCTTTTTTTTTGTTTGTTTTTTGTTAAATAAATGAAAGTGGAAATTCTTCAGAACCTGGATGTGCTATGAAAGCCACAACTGTATCAAGTGGGCCAGAGCCAGTTTGCACCACTGAAGCCACTGCTTTAGCTGCAGGGTTATAGAGGAGTGGTGGGTGAAGTACTATCTCCTGTTAATGAGGTGTGAACCCAAATTAAAGTGAATTAGGCTGGAGATCTAATCATTGCTGCTGTTGTTTGGGGGATAGGTTCCTGCAAAGCTGCAGAAGATCTGCCTTCCTCTGCAGTTCACAGTAGGTTGAAAAGGGAGACAGACCAAATCATCCCCCTTTCCTGCATCCAGGGACATGGGAGAGAAGTTGCAGAGCAAATTGGTGGTATGCTTTGACTCATAATTTTGGTCCTCCAATTGTGCAAAGAAGGGTAAGTCGATCTAATCTGGGAAGAAAAAATAAATTTAAATGCAATTTGACTTCTTTAAAATACCTGTATTTTATGTGGAAATAGTTTTGAATCTCTGTGCTTCTCTTGTGAAACAATGCGCTTCAAACAAGAGGGACATTCTACATTGTATAGGTTTAGGGAGGGAGAGCTGAGTTGGAGAATTCCTGCCCTTTTCCCCCCACCCCTTTCAATATTTCCTGCTACTTCCCCTGTGTATCTTGGTTCTTGCTGGAAGTTGGGTTTGAACAACTGGGATGACCTAGAAAGAGACCTATGTCGGAGCTGCAGAGATGCACCTCAAAATCATTCTGTTTTTGGCTAAAAGCTTACTAAATTCTGGCGAGTTTGCCAAAATAGCTCCTGAAACAGGTCAAAGGGAAGACTCCTATGTCCTGACAGCATTTGGTGAGCTGTCTGGAGTGTTTGGCTTGCACCTTTTTGGTCTCCACAGAAGTTCAAGGTCAGGGTTACATCTGTAGCTGGCTGTAGTCTGCCCCTAGACATACTGATCATTTGGTTTGGTTTTCTTGCCTCAGAGTAAAGGGACCTTATCCCTAAGTTAGGGACTGGACTTCTAACCTATTTGGTTTTGGGAGCACCATCTTGGAGCTCTGAAGACAGGCTAAGCCCCTTTATAACCACTACTATTTCCCCAACATCAGTTGCTTCTGGCACAAGTGCTTCATGGTACCTAGAATCTCTGCTTTTTGCTGATGCAGAACATTAGTCATGGCAATTATTCATGAGCTACGGCATCAGCTACTAGTAGTACATCTGAACTGAGCCTGAGGAAGTAAAATGAAGTCAAGTATTCTGTGACTTGCTGCAGCTGGGAACAATTCCTATCCAATTTTAAACATCTGAATCTAGCCCTGCTAGCCTGTAGCATTTGACCAGAAAATGCTCTCATGGCACTTGTCCAGGTTTCTGGTTGAACCATGACACACAGATCTTGTAAACTCTCACTTCTATTCTAGCCCCACACCAAGAGCATTTGATTAGGAAGAAAAGAGTGACTTGCTTTTCTGGCACAAATGCCCTGTCTTGTTTGTTTTCATTAGTAACCTGCTCCCTCTTTGTTTGCATTTGCTTCCCAGCCACTACCTTCCCTTTCCTATGGGGATGGGGTCTGTCATTTATTTCCCAGCGGTCTCTTCTCCTGTCCCACCCCTACTTTGTCATGGGTGTTGCAGTGTCTTTCTCATGCACCTGCCCCCTTCCCTCTCCAAGTATCCCAGATAAGTGCACACAACATGAACAAAGCCTGGGTTTTTCAGCGATGCCTGTTTATATCTTTGCAGGTGCAGCTAGGGAGAGGCAATTGCACAGCGTTTTTTCTTTCTGTGTCTAAAGAAGTTAGCTTGCTGCTGGCTAGAGGCAAGGGGGAGGATGTGATACTCTCTGCTCAGTTGAGTCATGTTGCTTATCATTGGAGAACTTGGTTTGCAGCAGCTTGGCACTTTACAGCTCCCTCTAAGGTAGCCACTTCCCATTGTTGTCCTCCACTAGTATGAACACTTGCAGAGGGAGGACACATTTGGATGCGGAACACTGGTATTTCCACCTTGGAAAAGCAAGCGAATGCCAAAAACAAGTACAAATTTCAAAATGGCAAATAGCTGAGGGTGTATCTGCAGGTACCATAATGCAAAGATCAGCTCTCTGCTGCTTTTGTTAGACTGCGAGGAAGTCTTACAGCATCTGTTGTTCTTTCTCCTCTTACGGGCCAGATAGTGGCTGTGAACTCTTCCAGCCCAACACCAGCAGCTGCAGGGCTCTGGGAGACGGGAGCAATGGAGGATCCTGGAGCTGCTGGAGACTCTAGTGCTGAAAGCCTCTATATTCAAGGTAAATCATGTTTTTTAACGTTGCCCTGGAGGGCTTGCTGTGAGGAGAGTAGGAGTTGAGTCTCTGTGTGCAGTCGGTCCTTGCCTCTGTACCAGGTCCACCAGTGGCTCCCAGCCCTATCCTGAAAACACCATCCCTTTCCATGCTGAACTGCAATGCAATTCTATTGGCAAATTCTGTCCTTAACTTGGAGAAACCCTTTTCCTATCCTTTGATAGATGGTCTCAATGCCTGTGTAATGACAAGGTCCACCCCTCCAGGCTATTAAGTGGGGAAAATATGCTTCAGAAGTAACATTGTTGATGCTCTTTGCTGAAATGGTCTTATTTAATCCTAAGATAAATAAAGAACATATCCATAAGGATGGAAATACCTAAGTTAGTATCTTTTGCCATATGGGTTCAGAGAGCATTCTGAGAAGAGGAAAGCCTCCTCCCAAGGGAACAAGGAGCCTTACTGGTCGCTATGTTCCTCTGCCATCTAAACAAGCTCTTCAGTTTCACTGTTTGGTTGGTTGCATCGGGCAGGGATGGAGCTGTTCGAGGAGGCTCTGCAGAAGTGGGAGCAGGCATTGACTGTACGGCAGAGAGACAGCAGCAGCACTTCACTCCCCTGGGAGAACAAGAAACACCAAGAGTCAATGTCAGGGGAGTTGTCAGAGGTAAGTTCCCTACCTCTCCTTTGCAATTTCCAGAGTGAACATTGTGAGGCACCAAACTGGATAGAAAAGAGGTAGTGGGAGATCAAGCATTAAAGAGCAGGTCTGGGGGCTAGACTACATACACCCTTCTGGTATGTTCAGGAGTCACCCATAATCACCTGTTACTTTTTGGTATAACTTGGCTGCAATACTGAGTGGGTGAGCTTCTAAGTAAAGAACCCTGTATCTCCCCCCGACCCCTTGCTTCCAATTTGTCATGGCAGGTGATGTCACACAGGTTAGTTTTAACTCCAGTGCTGGGTATGGCCAGGAAAAGAAAGTAATAAATCCAGCAACAAACAAGGTCAAAAGTAGGTTTTGTCTAACAATGTTGTTTGTCTCTCCTTTTTAATGCCTTTAAAGTTGGAGGTAGTTATGTTCCATTGCTTTATCAGTTGTTCTCTTGGGCTGCACTTAAATGGACTATGGTATGGTCACACACTTTTCTTAGTAAAAGAAAAACAAGGAAGAAAAAAGGAAAAACTTAATAGCTAAAAATGGTCACTTAAGAGGTTAGAAGGAGAGAGTTTGCAGTAGCTTATATTTTAGAATTACAGTTGGCATGCTGTCCCTGTAAATCTGAGAGAACTTTCAGGGGCAGATTCTTGTAAAAAGGGGGATCTTCAATGGAAGAGGGTTAATAGTGACTACGGAGCTTTAAAAAGGCAGCTTTACTTGAGGGATGAAAGTCGGAATTCTTTAGGAGTCAGATGTTAATGAAAGACACCCTGTGGCACTTGTAAACAGAGTTTGGTGTCTTAAGCATGTGGGATGTTTGCTTTTGTGTTCTGTAATATTTATGCAAGTCAAACCTGAATTCTTCTTTTGCTGTTTGCCATTGTGGTGTTACAGTTAGCCTAAAAACAGTTGCTGCGTAACCAAAACTTTGTGCTTTCGTTAACTCTCCAAGTGGTAGGCTTAATTGCTTGTGAAAGTGCAGATCTAAACAAAGTATTGTGAAGGTAGGCATTATGCAAGCTGTCGCTAACTCTTACTGATAATGTGTAAACGTGTTAATGGAAAACTGTACTTGTGTCTAATGCCACCATGAAGTCAGTCTCAGTACACTGCTGTTTTGGTTTTGGCCTTTTAAATAGACAGGATTGTGCAGGTTTTGTGATGTGAACAAACCTCTACATGAGGCTGAGCTGAGCTCACTGAACTCCTTTGTGTGATCTCCAGTCTGTTAGAACATCCGAGGCGATGGGTTAGTGACCCGAGTCTTAACACCCCCCAGCATTCTAAAGTTCAGAAGCCACAATGAAGAAAGCTGGAAGGGAAGTGTGTATATAAGTTGTGCTGCCCCCTACTTTGTTCATTCTGTACTGTCAGTTTAACATGCCTAACTGAAGAATCACTTTGGGTCCCTGGCGAAGCTGCAATGTGTAAAACATGACTCTTGACCTTTCCCTTCAAAATTGTCCTATTAGCATCTCTAATGATGACACATTGCTATTGTGAGCAGGCTAATAGGTTTGTAAGGATGCTATTTGTTGATGTTCAAGCAGGAGTCTCCAAAAAAGGAGTTTGCTGAAAAGCTTGAATCCCTCTTGCACCGGGCATATCACCTCCAGGAAGAATTTGGGTCTACACTCCCCTCTGACAGCATGCTGCTAGACCTGGGTAAGTGGGATCTGGAAGATGGATAAAGACATACAGCCTTGAGAATAACCTGGAGTTGATCACACTGGGGAACAGAACTGAGCACAGGGGCATATACTGGGCATAGGAAGAGACTTGATCCATTTAGAGAGGCTAGAGATGAGTGGCTGAACCAGAGTTTGGTATAAGATGGACAGGCAAAGAGACCAAATGCTTTTCTTGGAACTCAACCTATGAACAACCTTTGCACCAGAAGTACGCAATGCTTTGTAGCTTGTCAGCTGCTGGTCCCTGGCCTCTGATTTATTGCTTCATCTACAAGACTGAGGAAGCTAATTAATCTAGCTCTATAGGACCCTTTTTATCTTCCTAGTAGTAGGCAGGCATGTGCTAGAGTCACTCAATGAAAAGCACAGTTCTTCAGAGGGCTACAGTAATTAAATGAGGAAGCCTCGGGCTTTGTCCAGGATTCTTAATGCAGTTCGTCAACCATATGTCTCCTAAAGGCCAAGCAAATCTCTCTGAGTAAGTCAAAGAGGTGACAGGCATTTAAAGGTGACTGTGGAGGGGGGTGCAGGGGGGACTGTCACAGACTCTTGTTCCTGCGGGGAGGGGACTGCGCTAGGGGAGAGGAATGGCAGTCTAGAGAGAGGAAAGCAGGTGTCTGGAGCCCCACGGTTGTGTTGTTTTCTTTTCTCCGTTTCAGAGAGGACCCTTATGCTTCCACTGACGGACGGGTCACTGAGACTTCGGACAGATGGTGAAGACAGTTCAACTTCTGAGGACTCCTTCTTCTCTGCAGCAGAGGTGACTTCAGTTTTTATTCTTTAGAATAAATCAGTAAACCCACTGTATGCCATTTACTCTTACTGCAGTGGGAATTGGTGCTCTCTGTTCCTAATTTTGGGGAAACCCATGGGAAGGATAACTAGATGTTTGCTACCTCAAAGTAACAGCTAAACTAGTATTGTAAAAGCATTTCTAAATGTGGCTTATACTGCAGCTGTAGCAAAAGGTGCTGGGCCATGCTGGAGCTAAGAAAACTGAAAGAAAAGGAATTGCAATGGGGGTTGAAATCTATATTTAAAATAAGGCACACTAATGCTTTCTGCATCAGTTGGATTTTGCCCTCTTGCTTCTTTCTGACCTGCAAAGATGTAACTGTCTTTCTGCTTCCTACATCCTTTGCTTTTTTGGCAGCTCTTTGACTCCCTCCAAATTGGGGAAATACCTTTCCATCTCTCCAAGCCAGCAGCTGCATATGAAGAAGCTCTGCATTTGGTGAAAGAAGGGAAAGTTCATTGCAGAACACTAAGGTGAGTATCTCTAAGTATTATGACAGCTCTAGGTAGAGGTGTGATCTTGTGGTAGGACCTGTGTTGGGGCACATTCTTGTAGTATAGGCCTCAGTGTTGGGGCTAGGACGCTCTCTTTGGGAGATGAAGAGAAACTCATAGCACCATCTCTGCTGGTCTGGAAATACAAACTACCCATAGACTTCTGATGCTGTTAAGCCTTCTTTAATTTAACTTTTTAAAATTGGCTATGTTCTCTTGCTGTGAGAACCACTAAGACTGCACCAAGAAACTAGTTATGGGATACGTAATTTTTTCCCTTTTGGAGAAAAGATTTGCTGATATATATCTAGCCATGTACTTTAAAGAACAAAGACTGCTTAAAGGTAGTTCAGTGACCTGCAGGAAAAGAATTTGTGGCTTGGGTTAATTCTGTGTAAGAAGTGCCTGCAAATTATTATTTATTTATTTATTTTATTTATTTTCCTGAAGGGGCCTACGAATTTAAGAGGTCAACTCTCAAGATCTCTGTTGCATGCCCTTTTACAAGAAGTTGTCTCTTGTTTGATGCCGTCTGTAATGTTCTGCTTTCTTCTTTTCTAGGACAGAGCTCTTAGGCTGCTACAATGATCAGGATTTCCTGGCAAAACTGCACTGTATCAGGCAGGCCTTCCAGGTAGGAACTCTTTGGTTATTAGAAAGCAATCGCAGGTTCTGTCTGTATCTGCTCTAAGGCTTCCAGACTCCTAAAACGCTCCTTTTAAATATCCCTTCAACATGGCAACCATGTTTTTCATTCACAATAAGTCCTCTGCTACCGCAGAATGGGTAAAACATGCTCTTACTAAGGGGCCAGAAACATTGGTATGGTGAAAGCATAGTTGTCTTTGTGCCCATTTTAGCAGTGACTTTGGCCAAGGTAGGCACCTAAGCTTCCTCTGGAGCAGTTCTGTAATTTAAATACTCAGTTTCCTGGGAACTGCCTGGAGGTGACTAAACGTACTTCTTATACACCACTTGGCAGATTTCTCCAGCAGCTGGCTGGATTGAAACCCCTGAGCTAGGTATGAAAGGCTTTCTGTCCCTGGCTACCCAATCTGTAGGGGAATACCTCAAGACTTAGGACAGTGATACACAAGCACCCTTGTACCACCCCATGTATTTCTGGGCTGCTTCTCCAGGATTCTTATCTTCCTCTGTGCTTGATTTCTAGAGGAGAGCCCCTCTCCCACCTTTCCATTCCTTTTCCTTTTACACACCCTACCTTTTTTAAGACCCATCTCTGCACCAACACTCCTTCCAACTGAAGAGGACTAGAGTGACTTTTTTTTCTGTTAGAATTTCTCAGTATAACTAGTAGTTGACTAGAGGAGTTGCTGAGTGACCAGAAGTCAGTTAAGCTTCACAGTGCTTGTTGCCCTGGGCAGGGCAGATCCTGTTTTAAATTACACTTGGGTCAAATTAAAAATGACACAGCCAGCACTGCCTGCTTCACAGGTACAAGCACTCTTACTTTGACTCCCAGTTTTTTTCCCCACACTCACTCCTAGAACTAGGAATGATATTGGCTTGTTTGGTGAAAGAAGATTCTTTGTTCTCACAGGAACTCCTGAAGGATGAGAGCAACCAATTGTTCTTTGGGGAGGTTGGAAAACAGATGGTGAGAGGACTAATGATAAAGGCTGAGAAGGTAGGAAGCTTGTGAGCAGCATACAGCTTGGGTGCCCCTTGCATGAGCAAAGGCGCATCACTCATGCACTGGTCCTCCACTGGATTTTTACCTTGCTTTGATAACTGAGTTGGGAAGAAGAGAACTAATTCCCTCTCTTCATCAAACCTTTTGTGAGACTATTTGAATACAGTCTTTACTCCAAAGCCATCATCAGTGATATGGTGCCTCATTGGTTGTTCAGTAGATCCATCTGCCTCAACGGTGCATTTGTTTCTGTTGAGGGCAATGAGTAGGGAATATCTCAATGTGGCTTTTAGTCTTCTGCACCAACCTGTAGCATTTAGTATTGCTTCTCTGTCTTGCTAATTGATGATCAAATCCTGTTGGAATCAATTTGTCAGCTACAAGAACATCTGTGTCCTCAGGCATTTGTATAGTCTTTCCCACGATCCCAAAACACCAGCAATACAAAGCTGGAAAGCAGGGTGGTGGCAGTCCTAAACCCATCCCATTTTGCAAAGCCTGGCTAGTACTGACCTAATATTTTGGATGGAGTGTTTCGAAATCATTTTGGCTGCTTACAGACACAAACAGAACAAAACAGCATTTTACTTTAAGCTTAGTACATCCCCACATTGAATGCAGCATGTGCCCCCCCCCCAGTGTTTCGGTAGCCTTAGAGTTTTTCATCTCAGAATAGACTCTGAAAATGATTAATAGCCAAGTGGGACTGTGTTGCTTCTAACTAACTTTCCCTAATATCTCCTTTCTTTGTTCTCTCCAAGAACCCCAAGGCCTTTCTGGAAAGCTATGAGGAGATGCTGTGTTATGCACTGAAGCAAGACACCTGGCCAACTACTCAGCAGGAGCTTGAAGGAAGAGGGGTTTGTGATCGTGCTTGTGCTTGCTCTCTCTCTCTAGAAAGAGCAGAATTACATTGGGGCAACCCAAGAGTGAAAACTGTAAATGAAGTAACTGGATACTTCACCATTTGGTACTGCCAGGACAGGGGTGGGCAATAATTGTGGCTGGAGGGCCGCTTACTGACTTTTGGCAAGCTATTGAGAACTGCATGATGGGCAGCCAGGGGCAGATAAATACTCATTTTCTAAATTTTTTTTTTTTAGGGGCCCCATGGACTGGATAGAATGTCTTAGCGGGCTGCATCTGGCCCACGGGCCGCATTTTGCCCACCCCTGTGCTAGGACCTAAAGCTACTACCTTGACATTGCAACTGCTTTTCATTCTCCCTAATGTTAAGAGCTAGAGTTTCCCCTTCCAAACATACTGAAAGTGCCAAGTTTTACAAGTTTACCTCTGGAATGGGCTTTCCTTAGGCTAGGGGTGGGCAAAATACAGCCTGTGGGCCAGATCTGACCCACCAGGGACTTTCATCTGACCCACAGCACCCACCAACAAATTTTACCCCACCTACAGCTCTTCCACCCACAAGGGTGGGAGCAAGGCACCCACATGTACACACCTCCCCAGACATACCCTATTGTACCTCAGTCCCACCCTTGTGGGTGGAAGGGCCAAGCCTGGCCAGCACACAGCTTCCAGGTGAGGTGGCGGCTGCTGCTGCTGCATCCCCGCTGGAGACCTGCTTGGCTTCCCCTGCCTCCCAGTTGCTCTGGGCAGCAGGTAAGGAAGTGGTGGGGGCAGGGCTGCAGCTGGGAGGGACCATGGAGCTCGGGTGGACAGCGTGTAGGTGTGAGGGGTGTGTGGGGTGGCAGTGGCAGCAGCAGCAACAGCAGGCGGGGGGCTTGGGGCGCTGGTGCCTGGCAAGGTGCAGCTCTGGCCAGCGCTGCACGTTGGGGTGAGGAGTGCAGCCTCTGCCAGGCCATCTGTATTGCTGGTGCTTCCTGCCATGCTTGCACAGCACAAAAGGGAAGCTCCAGGTGCTGGAGTTGGCTGCCTTCACCCCCTGGGGGAAGGCATCTGGGGCTTCCCTCCTGTACCACGCAGCCCTAGTGGGGAAGGCAGCTGGCTCCAGCACCTAGGGCTTCTCCCTCCCCATGCCATGAATGTGGTGAGGCTGCAGGTGTGTGGCAGGGAGCACCGGTGATAGAGATTGCCCGGCAGAGGCTGTGCCCCTTGCTGTGATGTGCAGCACTGGCCAGAGCTGTGTCCCACTGGGCAGCAGCACCTGTGCCAGACATGAGCACCCTGAGTGTACCACGGGGGGGATTGTGTGGGGGGTGGTCCCCACACCTCTCCACCCTCCCTCACCCCACAGATGCTACACCCTGTCCCCATAACCCCCCATATATACAACCCCCCAACATACCCTATGCCACACCTAACCATACAACCACACATACACTTACCCCGCCATGATGTACAAGACGAAGAATTTATTTTTGAGTTTTATTATGCAGTCACCTCGATTTATACACTACGCAAACACAAATCAAGATAAAAGTATGTTTGTAATAAAATTAAAATATATTATAGTAGGTGTTTGACTTCTAGTGTATGATTTGTTGCTATTCTAAGATGGCAACCCCCACTCCCAAAAGGAGTATCTCTGGGAGGCAAGGGAGGGACTTTTTGGTGGCAAAGGCCAGGGGTTAGGGGTCGGACTTCTGGCCCAAAGATGGTGACCAGGGGGCAGGGCAGCTGTCAAGGAGCAGAGCTACCCATGTAGCCCTCAACTCACCAAAACTCATTAAGTGGCCCTCCACCTGAAATAAGTGCCTGCCCTTGCCTTAGGCCTATCACAGTGGTGAGTTAAAAAAGCTCAGGGTTCGGACTGCCTTCAGCATAACTTAATGCAGTGGGAAACTTTTTTTGATAGATTAACTCTTGAAGCTGCACTGACTTGGCTTGTCCCAAGTAGCACAGCTACCATAAAGTTTTATAGCTGCATTTGATTTCATTTGGTTTGCCATCTACTTACCCTTAACACAAGACAGTCTCTAGGCCAGCCAGCTACTGCTGTAAATGGTTCCATTAACTTCAAGCTGCTGAACTGAAATGGGTGGAGTTGTGCCTACTTATATCAGTGCCAAGCTTGTCCTGGTTCTGTCTAATGAATAGAGCCCATTTCCCAGTTGGTCCCTCTTGATCTGGTTCCTCTACAAACTCTTGTGTCCTCTGGCAGGTGGTGTGCATGAGTTTCTTTGATATTGTGCTGGATTTCATTCTCATGGATGCTTTTGAGGACCTGGAAAACCCTCCCTCCTCTGTGGTAGCTGTCCTACGCAACCGCTGGCTCTCTGATAGCTTCAAGGAGACGGTATGTTAGAGGGTGGCTCTCATTCAGAATTCCACTGGTATGCTTTAAAGGCCAGAGAGCTTTGGTTGTTACTTTCTCTGGTTGAACATAAGTTTATTAAAGGAATAGCTTTTTATCCCTCTAGCCAATATATGAGGTTGCCCAGTGTCTTGGTAAATGGAGTGATCTGCAGGAAAGCTTTTGACTTGAAGTACAGTAGGGATTACGTCAGGTGGCATGAGCCTTGATCCCTAAGCTATGAGGCTGGTTTAGCTGGGCCACTCCAAATCCATTCTTGCTTCCAGTTTGTGAGGCTCCTAATGGACTTAACTTTGGAATTGTTGGCTGCAGAAGGGTAGGAATGGGAAAAGCTCAAGGCTCTCATAATGGCAGTTGATAAGTGAATTGCCTCCTGTTCTGGAAAGGCAATGCCATTTAAATAGTTGCCTTGTTTTTAATTGTAGGCTCTAGCAACTGCCTGCTGGTCTGTTCTGAAAGCAAAGAGGAGGCTTCTGATGGTAAGTAAAACAAGCAGCAATAGGTGATTGTGTGTGGAGGAACTGCATGAAATCTAATATTGCCAATAGATCTGGAGCCTGACAAATCCAGATAGGACAGTCATAAAAACAGAGTGCATGTCCCTATTCCCAACATCTGAAACAGCAGTGGTGACACTGACTCCTGTGCTTGAAGGAACCTCAGAGCCCTCTTGAAAGTTCTTTTGTATCAAGTCTCCTCCTCTTCAGTTGATTTCTTGGGGCTGTGACCTATGAACTGCCCAGTATTATACAGTAGTGGCCACATGCAGATGTTCTTGCCAGTATATTCAGTAATACAGCCGGCTGGGTCATGCTAGCTGCACTGCCCAGCTCAGAACCTGCTGCACTTCAGTGACCAGCCAGGATATCTTCATAAGCCTAGCATATTTAGGAAAAATTCTTTGTTAAAATTCTGACTTTCTCAATTCCTTCCTAATGGCAGGTACCAGATGGCTTTATCTCCCATTTCTACTCCGTATCGGAGCATGTCAGTCCTGTTCTAGCTTTTGGTTTTTTGGGGCCCAAACAGCAACTGTCTGAGGTCTGTGGTTTTTTCAAGGTAAGCTGGTCATCTTGTCTTGCTGCTTTGTGGGATGCTTGCCATCTTCTCATGCAAAGCTATGAGCACATACTCTCACAGAAGGGCATCTACCAGAGCAGCAAGAAAATACCTGGATTTGCATGATCAATCTTAATAAAACTTTTGCTCTTTCTTTAATTCAGTAGACTGTATTTTATGATTTGCAAGAATTCTTACTGGAGCAGCATAGTTGGGAGTGAGAAGGTGTATAAAATCCATGCTTTCATTCTACAAAAATAAGAGACAAATGGATCTAACATTTGAATGCTTTGCTTGAGATCATATGGGACTTATAGTAGACCTTAAAGCCTAAATGTTCATGGTAGTGTTTTATGAATGCATGTTTTTTTTCTCCTTTGTTTCAAGACTGAATTAAAACTGTTGCAGTAGATATTGCCCTGAAGAGTAATATCGATTCAAAAAAAACCAAACAAACAAAACACTGCCTTGATATTTCTCTGCTTTTTTTTTTTTCTAAGTGGCTATCAGGTTTGGATTTATTTGGGGATAGATGTTTTTTCTGCTACAAAGACTTCTGAACAGCTAAGTATGGCCACAGTTCCCTTAGCCATGTACCTGATGCTGTTTGAAATAGACCCGTTGATTCTGCTTGATTCTAGGCATGGGAGAGGGAGGCAAATGTCTCTTTTTACAAACTTCTCTCCTTTTCTTCAGCACCAGATTGTGCAGTATTTGACGGACATGTTTGACCTGGACAATGTGAGATACACCACAGTGCAGTTGCTAGCAGAAGACATTCTGCAGCTCTCTCGGCGGCGCAGTGAAATCCTTCTGGGATATTTGGGTACTGAGACCACCCTAGAGATGAATGGGACGCTACCCAGTGAAAATGGATCTCTGGAGGAGCTCCACTAATATCCACCAATCAGTTACAGGAGAGAGTGATTTTTCTGAAGATTTTTTCCCCAAGAGGTGGCTAACCCATCTGGCATGGAAACTGGTTTCAGCAAGACTTTCATTACCCAGCATCCCTGGTGGCATTTAATTGCTCATCTTGAACTTTGTGTAGCCAGTAGTTGGCTGGGAGAGCTCCAGGACCACGTGCAGGCTTATGGTTTGAACCTCTTGTTTGTTCCAGCTCTCCTCCTTATTTTTAAGTAATTTTTAGGTGTCGTAAGTCATGAAATATCTTGGCCCAAGATTTCTGCCTCCTGCCTCTCCTGCAGCATACAAGCATCTGTCTGCTACCCAGCTGTGTCAACTGGGAACATGTCCCTGATGCTTATGGTGGTTGTGGGGAGTATCAGCAAATTCTCTTACCATATCAATCCTGAGTTTGTTTTTTTTTTATTATTATTTCTCTAACATGTCTCTATGGGCACCACTACTGATTTTTAACTTAGCAATTTTAGTGTTTGCAATGCTACTAGCAGATGTGGAAGAGAGGAAGAAGAATAACCTGGTGAGGAGGAAGAGATCGTTCTGTAATGCACTGAAGACTAGAGAATGGAAGTAAAATGCAGGTTTTTTGTAACAAGACTGAAGTTGTAAGGAGTCTGTTTTGTGTGTTGCTGATTTTGTTGGCTAGAAGGTGGCCCATGCTTCTGCTGCAGCTATCCTTTCACTTGGGAGTCTACTGAGATGCCATTGCACATTGTGAATAGAGGAGGAAGCAGGTAGGTTGTATCTTGCCTACTTGCATGCACATGTACTTCCTCCAATGCCCATCAAATGTGCCTAGCTGCATTTCAGAATTGACCCCTGATCGCTGGCCGGGTAGCCTGGGGTAAGAAATGCACAGGTGAAGGAGGGATGGGTAAGCTGGTGCCTACTGCTGTTGCTGCCTATAGAGTCGAGCAGAGAGGGAGCTATTTGAAACGCAGAAGAAATTGTACTGCAGTTACTTGGAGTGCAGGGAATCTGGATCAAGCTGCTGTGGGGAAGCTCTTGTCTGTTTAGTAGTTCTCTATAAACACGTGGATTTAGGTGTATATACAGGGCATATATACAAATAACAAGGACTGGCATTTGGAAGGCTCTCCCACTACAATGAAATGAAGCTGACCATTGTCTGTCAAAACCTATGGCTCAGAGTAAAACTTGGCTCCTGAGTGGTGCCAAGTTGATGCTCTGAGTTGAAGTATAGTGTAGAAGTATTTGTGTGACCTGAATCTGAGATGCTATCTTCTGGAAGGGTTGCAGGTAATTCTATTGAGTTCTGCTGCATACTATAAAGCCACATGCCACAGTTTCTGCCTCAGACTTCATAATGGTTCTGGCTTGGTTTCAGGTTTGGTGCTAAATCCCAAATTAGTGGTCTCAGGGTAAGGCCATATTCAGGAATAGAAAAGCAGGGACCAGAACAAAAGAGTTGATGCCAGTAAAGTTCAGCTTTTAGAAAGAAGAGCCGTCCCATGTGGATAGTCTTTCCTTGTTCATCCAGGAGCTGTGTGAATAGTCCAGCTGTGTTTTGTGAAACAAAAGCTGAGAATACAGACTTCCTAGAAGGTGAAGTGAGTGGAAAGTGAAAAGTTCTGAATTGTTCCTGACTTTGCATTTTCTCTCTGTCTCCTGAGTTGCAGCCAGGTTCATATAAACATACTTGTTAATACAACTTCCTGTAGTGAAAGCAGGCAAAAAAGGGCAAGAAGAGTCTACAAGGATTTGAAATAAAGAAGAGATGTCCCCCCCCCCCCCCC